TCTTCTAATTTGAACTATCACATTTTTAGAATAAAATTTTAACAATTCTAAGGGATGACCCATTAACTATAATCTACATAAATTATTTTAAAAATGTAGTATTACTTGAGAACAAGTAATGTTTAAGTTTGAGGGATTTTAATACGCCTAAAAATGTACTATTTTTAATGCTTCATTTTATAATGATATTGCACTTTAAAGATATATTTTCTTGTGTTTTTAGTTGTAGGTACATCAAATTGAAGAATTTGGAGTGATTGGAGCAAAAGGAACAAAAATGTACAAAAACGGAGCAAACCGGAGCAAATTGGGTCGAACCGGGGCACACCGGAGCCAAAGAGACCTAAACCGGACACTTAAGTGCCTGTGTTCGGCGCTTAAGTACCCAAAATGGTGCTTAGGCGCCACCAGACAGAGAGGGGGGCGTTTAAGCGCTCAAAAACGGAGCTTAGGCGCCGGTGATGGTTTTCAACATATCTTCTAGAGTATACGTCGGATTTGGACAATTTTTTAAGCGGTGCTTCGTGCATCTCTTGGGGAATTCATTAGAAATGAGAAAATGGGATTTCTAGAAAAACTTTAGGTGGTTATATGGAGTTTTGAAGAGGCGCTTCAGGCACCATTTGAAAGATTCATTGAATCTGGACAGTTTTGAAAAGACACTTAAGCATCTCTTGGGAAATTATAAAAAAAGGCTTGGAAATGTTCTTAAAACAACTCTTAGACTCTTGAATTAATTTAGACTCTTTGAAACTAATTAGAATGGGAGAAGAAGGCTTGGAGAAGAGGAAGGAGGCTTGGGTGTGAGCCCCAAGCGGGGCGGCAAGGTGAGAGAGAAAGTGAGAGAGTGGGGGGTGAGATTTCTTCTTTTCTTTTCACTTTGTTCTTGGAAAGGATTGTAAAGAGATTGCTTTTTCGATACAAGGAGAGTTTAATTTCTATCAGAGATAAGTATTTTCATTATATTTTGATTTGAATTTAGTACTTGGTTTGTATGTTTTCAAAGTCTTGTTCAATGAAAAGTTCTTATTATTTCTCCTTGTGTAGTGAGTAATTTTCTTTACTCTTCCTTCTTGTAATGAATTGATATGCATGTGTAGGATATAAAATAGAGTAGAGTGAGAATATATTGTGATGATTTTACTTTGTTCTTCATTTACATGTAAACTTGATCAACTTGCATGCTAAAATTTGTTGTGAGAACATGTAAGCTCCGGAATGGTATTGTCTCAACCAACTGTGGTAGAATCACATGAGATTGTATGGATGAGAATGTAGTACATATAGATAAATACAAATAAATAGGGAAATAAGTAGAATTAGATGACTTTAGAGTGACCGTCTAAAGCCTCTAATTTGGTCTATTGTTTTAGGTTTTGATGCGAGATGTTAGCCTCCGGATGGAGGGATAAGAGGGAACTTTAGAGTGAGAGCTAGTATCTTCCCTGCCTAGCCCGTCTTCAAAAATATTCAAACTTTAGATTAACCAATGTTCTTTATGACATCTCTAGTAAGGGTCAAGAATATAATTGCTCATATTTATCACAATCTCTCTTACTACTTGTTTTACTTTTACACATGTCACTACTTTCATTGCATGAGGAAGAGTACTTTTAATATATTAAAAACCCCACTTTATGATTTTCTCTAAGTATTTTAATTTAGAAGTAGAAGTAGTGTTGTAGTGATAATTGTAGGATAAAATCAAAACCAAACTTTTATCAACCTTCCAAGCTAGGGCGTGTTATTCTAAACTAGAATTTCTCTTGAAAGTCACTCTGATTAATCTCGATCTCCATGGGATCGATATTCAGGAATTTATCAGAAAGTCATATATTACTTGATAATGATACATATACTTGCGTAGAATCCCCAGAAATATAATTGAAATCTTACTTTGCTTGAGATCAGGTTTTCGGTGTCATTACCAGGGATTAAAATCTTTAAGTAGTGATGTCAACTTCTTAAAATCTACATATAAAAAAGAATATTGGGATCACCCACCTACATAGAAATTCAAACCACTTCTTTAGTCTCTTTGAAACCCACATAATGATCATGAACCTCCAGGACTTTGAAGGTTGAGACCAACATGTGAGGATTCAAAGGAGGAGTTCTCATAAGATTGCTTGACTTAGGACAACCCTGGGTGGCTAAAGCTTGGTCTTTCACACACTCAAGCAGATCACAACATCCCACTTTTCCCAAAACCCTAAATCACACCCATTAAACCAACCTCTTTTACCCTTTAAGAAACTCACATAGATCGTCCCAAGCGTCTGGCCTTGGGTTAAGATGGCTAGGATCAATATGTGCTCATAAAAGGTTTACATTGGATTAGGTTTGGTCCCAAGGTGGTTAAGCATGGCTAAGACTCATGACCAAGTACCCCCAAACCTTAAATCCTACCCAAATAACCAAATTTGGCCTTTTAGCCCCAATTTTTTTTTAAAATTACCAAATTGCTCCTTGAGTCCTAAAATTCCAAAAATGACCCAAATGATCAATTTTCTTCAAAAAATCATATCAAACCATTCTAAACCATCCCAATTGACCAAAACACCCCAAAAATTCCAAAAATTCTAAAAATCTCAAAACACCCCTAAATTTGCCAAAATTATCTAAAATACCTAATTTTGCCAAAATTCCTCAAAATTCTCAAACTCCACCAAAATTTTATAAAACTACCCCAACACTTTTTAACTGACCCCAAGTCTCCCAAGATTCCCAAATTGGCCCAATTTGACCAAAAATATCCAAAATTACCAAAATTGTCCTTAAGGCCCAAGACCCCCAATTTGCACCCAATTGACCAAATTGACCCCAATTTTCACTCAATTCACTCCTAACCTACCTAATTTCAAAATTCACACCCAATTTAAATCAAACCCAAGCCCGATTTTATTAGCCCATGTTTAATTTTAATTTAAATCTTTCATACATATTTTAAAATCCCATTTGCATAAATAATTTTCAAAAGCCCATGGGATTAATTTTATGCATCAATTATTTATCATCTTATGACATTTGAATTACCTCTTCATGGCATCATATGAAACAAATCATGCATGTACACCAAAATTGGGCATGTTGACGTCTTTTATTTTAAAATTATAAAATCCTAAATACCATTTGCATGAAACTTTCCCATGGGCTCATATATAGCATGGCATGCCCCATGGAGCCTTCCACGAGCATCATAAAGTCAAATTTTCCAAATTTGGCAAAAGAGGTGACCACTCCCTTTCCCTCCTTTATTTGGACTTTCCCTCTTCATGAAACATTTAAACTCTTGCCCCATGCCCATGCCAGTCATTTGACCTCACCCTAACCTTCCTTAGGGTCAGTCCAAGCATCCTAACCACTTTGGGACCAGACTTAGCCACTTAACTGAGGGTTTGAGCCCAACCTAGCTCACGTAGCCTAAACCCCATTTTTTTCTTGGTTCTTCACCTTGAAGTTTATCTAAAACCAAATTGAGCTGACTACTCAGTCCCCATGACTCCCCTAAGCTCAGAGGTGACCTGATCCTGGCCTAACGGCCACCTCAGCTGTCAGAAAAGACCAAAACTGAGAGGCCCCCATGGCCAAAACACAAAATTTGAACCCCCAGACTTGGTTCATTCCAATTGGTCACTTGGACGGCCAAAGGGGAGGCAATTCAAAAACATGGAAAACTCTGCCAAAATCATTCCAAACCCTAACTCCAATAATCCAAAGTTTAACCCAATCATTTTCAGCCCCTCATATCCACTATAAAACCCTAATTTCACCACTGAAATCCTGAGGTTTTCACGGTCATACCATCAAGTGCCACCAAACTCCAAATTGATTGTCCCATAAGCTTCATTAGAGCCAAAAAAGACTTCCTTAATCAAAGCCCCATCCTTTTGAGCACTCTAACCTAGTCCAAAGCCAAGTCTGAATCACCCTCTGATCTAATTCATACTTGGATTCAACCTCAGCTCAAATCAACACTTGGAGGAGGTTCGTCAGCTTACAACGAAGCTCAGGAACAAATCCAACTGAGACTGCATCTCTTGAACAAAGGAATGGATCAAAACACCTAAATTCAGCCTCGATTTGGGCTTTTGTAAAGAAAAAATTAATTTCATGGTCATGTAACTGTATAGATGTAATCGTCTGACCTAGATGAAGATATAGAAACAAATCCTACATGATTTGGTTGAGAATTGAGGGAGAAATTAGACATAGAAAATGAGCGGCTTATGGGTTAAGTCATTTGGGGACGATGACCAAGAGTCATCCGATCGCACACGTATTGGACGGACAGATCGGATCGCGTTGAACGAGGAGATGAAGCGGTAAAGGCGGGACGCATCGCGGCTGACTCAGAAGGCGGTATCTAGTAGTGCGACGATGAGTGGAAAGCTCAGAGTTGTCGAGGATTGCGTGGCACTGACTTGGATAAGTAGAAAAATATCCTATTTTTTATTTAAATTATTTCAAAAACTTTGAAAATTCATAATAAAAAAAATCATAAAAATAAAATAAAAATACCCCTGTGCTCAGTGAAAAGAAAAGAATCATGTGGATTAAAAATAAATTTTTTTTTAGTTATATTTATTTTTAAATTAATTAAATAATATAAATCTTATTTAAATCATAGATAGCTAAATATTAATTACCATGGTGTGAAATTTTAAGAGTTTTTTTTTCTCTATATCTAGGATTATTCTTTGAATTTTCCATAGTCAGAGAACACTTCTAGCATGATAAACCCTAACTTCAAAAGTTAATAAAACCTAATTTGGTGCAAAGTCCACGCCTCCCCTTTGGTTCGATTTGGATCCTTTGCTTTTCCTTTTCTTTCCCATGGCTAATTTGTTTTTAACAAACTAAACCCATTTTCCGCTTTCAAAGCATTTCTCTGATAATAACAAATGAGTTAAAGCCCGATATAATTTAAAAACTTTATAACATAAATAAGACGTGTTCGGACAATATTTATTACACAAAGAGGGAAAGCTATTAAGAAAATTTTAACTTTAAACTAAAATTAATCGAAACCCTCGCCTACACTGCCCCTCGCCTGCCTGCTCCTCTCCCCGAACCCTCGCATGTGCCGCCTCCGCTTTCTGGTTTCGTCCAGAACTATCGCCGTCGTCACTGAACCCTCGCGATACAGTCGCAAGTAGAGCTAACTGGTTACGCAACTTCGGGATCGCGGCTTACAGAGATCCGAAACTTCCATTTTGTTTCCTCCATCTGCTCCTCTCCTACGCGAAACCGTTGAGCAAGGTAACTTCACGTCGTTCTTTTTTTTTTTTCGCGCGAAGCGTCCGTCCCGGATTTGCTAAATCCACCGATTCGCTGGATTTTGTAAATCCGGGATTTAGGGCCGAAATCAGTGAAATCTGTATTTATCAAATCCGAGGCTTTATTTTGTCCAAAATGATCGTCAGGCAAGATTGAGGCTAAGTCCAGCTTAAATCCTGCTCTAAATCCGTTACTGGACAGGCCCTAACTGTGTCTTTTTTTTCTGTTGTTTTTGTAGGAAAACCAAGCAGCGCTTTGAAATCTTAGGTCAGAAGGGATGGTGCTCAAGTATGTGCCTATGTGCTATTGAATGAAATTGAAATTATGAGCTTGTTATAGATAACCGTTTGGGCATGCTAGAATGATAGTTTTGAGTTTCTCACGTTTTTGAAAATGATTCAATTTATTGTGGCTGCTAGAAATTGTTAGGTCTCTCTCTCTCTCTCTCTCTCTCTCTCTCTTTGAAAAGAGACTTATATATTGACACCTTTGGAGCATTCTATGCTAACATTATAATTGGTATTACATCTCTTTTTTTTTCATCTTTGACATAGTTTCTGCTATGTTTGGAGTTGCTTTGATTTTATTTTATTTTGGTTTCACTACATAGCTAATTGTGGAAGATATCTTATGCATAACTCAATTTTGGGAACTATATTGGACATACAACACCAATATAGAATGTTGTGATAATTGTGAAAGGGTGCTTACTTTGCTTTTTAAATTTTTTGTGGGATTATATATGCAATATTTATGAGTAAGCTTTATTGTGTATAATTTTTTAGGACTGAACTTTGCCGATTTAGTGGTGCTAAGATTTACCCTGGAAAGGGTATTAGATTTGTTCGAGGTGACTCCCAGGTATACTTACTGCATGTTCACAAACATAGCTAATTTGTGGATTTGGTTTTACATATTCTTATTTTTGTAATTTTGTTGCTTTTAGGTCTTTCTTTTTTCAAACTCAAAATGTAAACGATATTTTCACAACCGGCTGAAACCTGCCAAACTTACCTGGACAGCAATGTACAGGAAACAGCACAAGAAGGTAATTATTTGCAATAATTTTTACTTCTATGGGAACTTTTGTTTGTCAGTAACTCTTTAAAATCTTTTGAGACAACTATTAAAGCCTTGGATGATGTTGGAAGTCATGCAATGTTTAAATTTGATGCTGGAAAATGTTTTGTGTTTCTGTTTTGACATATCTGCTGTGGGAAGTAGTTGTTTGTTGATTGCTGCATAATTAGATTAATTTTGATTGATCTTATGTGGAAATTACAGTTTTGAGTCTGTTATTGAATTTAATGTATCCTTTCACGCGGTACGCATGTTTTAAGTTGATTTGTGATAGGACCATGCTTAGTGATCTAAATAATGTAACCATTCACGCATGAAACTTCATCTCTAAATGCACAATCAATGTATTGTCAGCTCAAGTAGTGGCTGATTACAGAATTACGAACAAATCCCAATTTTAATTTGAATGTATGATTGCTTTGTTTTATTAGGGCCAGTTTTGTTATTTGTGATGTTGCTTCCTGCCATTTGTGCTCTATTCCGTACTTTTGGTTAAAAAATTTCATCTATTTTTTTCTCTTTAAGATATCCTCTTATGATATTGACATTATCTTTATATTAAAATGTCTTGAAACAATCCGGTGTGGGGATTGGCTTGAGTAATTTGAATTTCTTTTTTAGTTTTTTGGTTAATTTAGGTAGTTTACTGAACATGGATGATGAATCAAGTGCATGAGATGATAAATGTCAGATATGTCAATCCAAATCTATTAAGGCATGAAACTTAGCGTGATATAAGAGGTGATAATTTAAATTTATTTGCATATTCAGTGTGCCAACATCCTCTCTCCGAGCTTCCCACTTGGAAATTGCAATTTGAATGATCCATTGCAAACTTTTGGTAGAACAAGCTTTTTAGAATTCCATCTTTTTTAACATTGGCCAAGTGGTAATTCTGAATTCTCCCCCAAAAGCATGGAGAAACATTCCCTGCCATTGTTTTTTAAGGCAAGTTGTCATAGGCTTTTAGGCTAGGTGCTGTGTAACTTGTTCCTTGTGCATCTTCTTGGCAGGTGCCATTACGAAGCATGCCTAAGAGAGCGGCTTACCTTGATTTTGGAGATATGTTCTGATACTTGAAATGCTTTGTGGATTATGTACTTATGAGGACAGCATGTGGTGATAGAGAAGTTTAAGTTGTTGAGATACTATTTATTTCTAAGACATGTAATTTCATGATATTAAAACATGTCAACCTGCCATCCGCAACATTATTTTTCTTATTTCAAATATCTGAGGTTGGCCTTGTGAACTCTTATTTTCAGTTTATTCTTATTAAGTTTTGTTGGAGGTATTAAACTTATCCTTGGCAAATTATTTTGATCAAGCTGTAATACAGCTTGATCAATTACAGCTTGATCAAAATAATTTGTAAATGATAAGTTTAATACCTCCAACAAAACTTAATACGATAAGGTTCCAAGAGATACCCTTTGGAGAGTTCTTGAGATGAAAGGTGTTGATATTACTTATATTCAAGTTATTAAATATATGTATACTAGAGTTGTTACTTTTGTTCGAACTAAAGGAGGATTGACCAAATATTTTCCTATTTATGTTGGATTACATCAGGGATCGGCTTTAAGCCCATTTCTTTTTGATTTAGTTATGGATGGTCTTACTGGACATTTACAGGAGCATGTACCTTGGTGTATGCTTTTTGTTGATGATATCCTTCTCGTGGATAAGACGAGATAAAAAGCCTAGGAAAAACTTGAATTATGGAGGTCTACATTGGAGTCTAAAGGCCTTCATTTGAGTAGAACTAAAATTGAATACATTGAATGTAATTTTAGTAGTAGCAGCTTTAGTGACAGAAGTGTAACTATGGGTGATCAAATTATTAGGTGTGAATGATTTAGATATCTCGAGTTTGTTGTTCAAAGCGATGGTGATATAGATGGGGATGTTAATAATAGAATTCAAGTTGGTTGGTTGAAGTGGAGGAATGCTTCGGGCCTTTTGTGTGATAGAAAAGCACCGCTTAGACTGAAAGGAAAATTTTATAAGCCGGTGGTGAGACTTGCAATGCTATATGGCGCTGAATGTTGGCCTTTAAAAGAGAAGCATAATACTAAGTTAAGTGTTGCCGAGATTACAATGATTAGGTAGATGAGTGGCTTTACACTTAGAGGCAAAATGCGAAATGAATATATTTGTGATAGGGTTGGTGTAGCTCCTGTGACTGACAAAATTAGAGAATGTTGTTTAGATGGTTTGGTCACATTAAGCGTCGACCATCGTATGATCCGATTAGGAGAGTAGATGTTTTAGATTCGACTTGTGTTAAGAAAGGCAGAGGTAGACCTAGGAAGACTTGGGCTTATTGTATAAAAAAATGATCTTAATTTATTAGGACTGAATGAAAATAGGACGCAATGGAGAAAAAGAGTTCATGTTGCCAACCCCACGTAGTGGGATTAAAACTTTATTGTTGTTATACGTTGTATTTGTGTTACCTACTTATTTCATATGTACTTATTCTATATACCTATTTTCTGTACGCATTTTGTACCATTTGAAATACATGTTCAAACAAGTATTTTGACTTTATTTTAATAAAATTTAGTTTTTTTATCCGTATCATTGTCCCTTAATTTATTCTTTCTAATTCTATCATGTATCAATCCACACTCGACATAACTTGATTTTTTTTATTACCAGTCTCTATTGTCCATGCAATATCCTCAACCTTTCTGTTCTAAAAAAATATCATTAGTGCGATGAGTATGATATCTACTCGTACATTTTTAAGAATAAACCTGAAACTAGATCACCATCATGAAGCATTTCTCATGAGTTAGTTAATATCCATTACATCTAGATGTCTGGTGCCCATTATAAGGAGCAGTTATGAGTATCATATATGGTGTGATACTCTACCCATGAACATAGCACATATTTTTTAAAGAAGACCCTAAATTTATGATATGAATGACACTTTATGGTTGAGAGAATAATGACTAGACCATAAAATTATTCTCAATAAAGCTAGTATGCAAGAGAGAACAACAACAACAACAACAACAACAACAACAACAACAACAACAAAAAAGCCTTAATCCCACTACGTGGGGTCGGCTACATGAATCCTTTTTTTCCATTGCGTCCTATTTAGTGTCATGCAAGAGGGAACTAAATGAAAATATGACACTAAATAGGACGCAATGGAGAAAAAAGATTCATGTAGCCGATCCCACGTAGTGGGATTAAGGCTTTGTTGTTGTTGTTGTTGTTGTTGTTGTTGAAAGCTAGTATGCAAGAAAGCTTCATATAAATGAGTCAATGATTTTTTTATCTATGCAAATTGAGGAGCTCAATAGGGTATTGGAAATATTATAGATGTTTTAGCTGTGAAAATCTAATAATTGATTTTTTTTTCCATATTAGCGTTTTTGCATAATAGCACTATTTCAAAATTTATAATTAAAACACTTTGGAATAATTTATGTGTATTATCCAAAAATATATATCAAAATTGATATCATGTTCATACCATCATGCATTTTTAGATTCAATAATTACATTTATACATTAATAACTTTTCTGAAATGGAAAAAAAATGGAAAAAAGTTAATTCTTTGTTTGTTGAATAAAGAAATTGAATAAATAAATAAAAATAAAACTTATAAGGAGTATGATGTTGGTGATCATGTATTGATTTGTATTTTTTAGGAGGATATTCTTTCACCAAATATGAGCAAATATAAATGAGAATGGCTGAAATTTATCACCACATAAATTTCAATTTTTTTTTATTTTATCAAATACAATATTATAAATAATATATCACATTGAAAGATAAAAATACAATTGTACAATGGATTAGGTCGATAAATAATGATTTGAAAAATTATGTCCATGTAAAATAAAGATCTCAATTTGTAAACAAATAAAATTTATTCTTATTCTAATCATCTTGTTCATTATTTCTATTATTATTGATCCTTCCATTCAAATTTTCTAAATTTTATACATCTACCAAATTCTGTTTTTCACCACACTTGAGTGAATTTTTACGTGCAGTCATGGCTGACTTCTTGTCCTTTCATCTATTTTTCATTACAATTGAGTTTTGTGATGTATTATTTTTGGTTGGCATCTTATCAAACTTTTTGCCTATTTCTCAGAACATAGGGTTAGGTTAGGGTGTGGTGTCGCTTTTGGTAATTGCCTTAGGATTAGAAAATTTTAAATTTTGATTCATTTAATTAATTTGGCTATAATTTTTATGATTGTACTTGACATCATATCCCTAATCCCTTGAAATGTTTTGATTTTGCCTCAGCACTGGCAATGAAGATTTTAGCAATCTTATCATTTGTTCATGAAAACATTCAAGTAAATGAATAAAAGAAAATGGAAGTTTTGCATACTAAAATTAGTCCTATTCATAACCATATAATTCAAGGAATCTTTTATTAAATTAATATAATATAAATTTTGTGATGCCTGCAAGGATGCATAACTGCACGTCAATTTCTTTTGGGCTGGCCTGCCCTTCAGTCACACTTGTATCAAAATTAGCAACATTCATGGTATTTGTTTCTATTAGGTGATTAATTTCTTGATTTGTTGGATTTCCAGCTGCATCTTTGTTTTACTATTATTAGTACAAGCATATAAGAATCTCATATTTGAACATTATTTTAGCACTTTCTTTTCCATGCGTCATACACTTCCTTTAGTTTTTGTTTTTTATTTAAATTTAGGTAGATAGCAGGATTGAATGGCAGCATATGTTTATGAATGAATATTTTCTTTTTGTGAAATTTACATGCATAGTGCCCGATTCTCATGCATTTACATATCTATTACCCAAAGTTTGATATTTTGATGTCATAAATCTATGCATGAAAAAAAAGGTATTTTTCACTTTTAAAAAGTTAATGATGATGGTGTTTTTGATGTGATGTTAAATATCTGAGTGGTATACATGTAAATATGGATGTCTAGGTGTTAGAGATGTAAATATATGTAAGAATTGTGTGATTAAATGCTGGCTTCTTATTTTTTAATCCGTGTTACTGTCCTGCTTTTTGGAGGAGAGAAGGAGATTTCCACATAGTTTTCTAAGAAGGCCCAAACTTAAATATCATGTTCATTTGACATAAATTTTTGTTTATGGATTAGGATATTCATGATGAATCTGTGAAGAAAAGGCGTCGTGCTACTAAGAAGCCTCTCTCCAGGTCAATTGTCGGCGCTTCCTTGGAGGTCATTCAAAAGAAAAGAACTGAGAAGCCTGAAGTTCGTGATGCTGCCAGAGAAGCAGCTCTGCGGTATGATGTAGTATTTATTATTTACCAGAAATTGGCTCACTTTGCATTAGAAAAACTAGAAGTTTGATGACCATTACGGTGTTTTTAAACTCTTCTATCCATCTTCTGCTTTTGTTATCCTTTTGTTTGTATTAAACTTAGCTTTCCAATGGTTTGTATGTCTCTGTGCAGTGAAATAAAGGAGCGGATAAAAAAGACTAAGGATGAGAAGAAGACCAAGAAGGCTGAGGCTTTGGCCAAAACGCAGAAGACCCAGACCAAGGGTAATGTGCTCAAGGGTTCCAAGGGACCAAAGCTTGGTGGTGGTGGTGGGAAGCGTTGAGGACTTGATATCCTTAATTATATGCTTCTTTCTTACTTTCTCATGTGATCAGAAATTTTCTCCTGAATTCGTTGTTTTGCTTTGGTTCGACTTTATAGCTGCTTTAATGTGTTCCAAGTCAGGATATGATTTTAGCTCTAAATTTCCTTCATTTGGTCTGTTATGCGATTTTGGAAACTTTATGATTATCTAATTTTGTTTGAAATTTGCTTTTGATATTTTTGGAAGTTTGAAGATGATGACGTGATTAGAAAATTGTGGATCATGCAATTTTTAGTGTCTGGAGCATAAATTCAGTTTTATTTGGGTTTAGAATACTATTATAATCTGAAAATTTTGAGACAATGAATCATATTCATTGTTTCATTTTTCATGCATGCCACACAAATCTTATGTATTTACATATCTAACCCCTAAAGTTTGATATTTACACTCGCAACATTTTGGTGTTCTAATCTTATACTTTGAAATGTGTATTTTATGTACTTCAAATGATTACACCTTTTAAGGCTCAAGGCCGAATGCAATATCTCAAACTTCATTAGTTGTTGATATAATCCAATTAGCAAGAATCGTATCACACATACTTTGAAATAAAGTAGATATTATAGTTTGAGCCAAAAATAATCAAAAAGCTACGAGATGGCATGACCATCATCATAAAGGAGGATGTCATGTGCTTCAAAAAGATGATACTCACTCATATTAAAAGTTTGAAATGAAACAAAATGAAAGAGGATAAGTTAATCATTGATTGCAAACAAAACATCTGATTAGAGGGAATCATTTTTGCTGAACAAAATTAGCAAGCATTGTAGCCTATCAATAACTAGTCATTGCAACACAAAATAACCATATTTTTGGTAGGGATGTTGATCTGGAAATCAAGAAAGGCTGGGAAGAGTTGAGCATCAAATTTACCTAGGAAAAGCATCAACCCAAAATCGAACAGCTATAGAACCCCATATTCAAATATTAGGACTTTCTAAAAACTACATTAATTTGATAGAAACATATATGATATTCCAAAGACTCCAAGAAATCAAAAGAGTTGAGTAAACACAAATGAATACTACTATTCGGATCAAAATGAGTCGATGACTATAAATCTATCAAATTTATTTGAAGATTTTGGCCATCATGTTGCATCAGCCAAATACACTGGAAAGAAAATATGGCTAATGGGATGAAACACCACAACCCAACAAACTTAGAAGAAAATAATAAATAACTAACAATCATGCACTAGACAAAAATCAAATATAATTGAACTTCAAATCACAATAATAAGATTAGTACCTATTTATGAAGATTTAAGTAGAGGCTTGGTAACTTATGGAAAATTTTAGCACTCTATTCAAGAATAAGGGTAACATTAATACCCCTAAGTTCATAAAACCTTCGAGCTGATCAAGGTGCAAATTTATCAGTTAAAATACTTTGTGATTAAAAGATAAAAACTAACAGATCTTGAATGTTTCCCATATATATTTTTTCTATATGGTAGAAATTGTTACGATTTCTTTTATTTAAAGTTCAAGTTCCTTTTAGGCGCATGCTCTATGGTTAAACATATCTTAAGAAAAAACTCCTTAAGAAAATCTTTTGTTAAAGTTGAAACATATAGTTTTTAAGACAGTTTTAAAATGTTTGAGTTTAAAAATTTGCTAAATGAGATAGGCGCAATTGGATTAGAAAGTTGTATGAAAAAGTCAATGGAAAAATGCACATGAAGTATACATTATATCCTATGTTGGACAATTGCCACTTTGATATCGAAATTGGATTTAATTATGAGTTAAATAGTTAACTAAAAATGATACTTAAAAGTTTATAATCAATAGCGACTTCGAAATTGAAAATGTTTGTGATAAGATTTTATAATGTCACAACTAAAGACGTGGAACTTATTCTATAGGGACTTATATCATCGTTATGATAATGCCTTGAACCTAAATCTTGTGCAATAAGTGATCTTGATGGGTTTTATAAATTTAAACCTTAAGAAGGCTATATTTAGCCATACAATTTTATCTAAAGGGTTCAACCAAATAGATCAACCTACAAGTCTTAAAAACGATGCCATATAAAATTACTTATGACTTATCAATTGTTGCTAAATAGCATGACCATGTAAGTATTAATATAAACTAATATGTATTTTTCTTTGGTGGTATATCCTAACATGATAGAGCATTTAGATAATGCAAAATATTAAGGTCTATAGATAGTATGTATCAAATGAAGGCAATTGTTGATAAAAAAATTTTATCGTTTTGTGAATTATATAAGTAGCTGTCGATTTCTCTATTGAGAGTAGAGGAGTATAACATTTGATTATTTTGAAAAAATACTTTAGAAAAAGCTATGTATGTTCTATAAGAAAGCTTAAATTTAATGTTTATTTTAGAGTTGTGAAGTAAATTAAGAATACATTAAAAGTTTCTAGAAAGTAGATCACAATTGACACACATCACCATTATATGAAAAAAAATATAAAATGAGACAAATCAAATTCATTACAACAAATAAAATCATGTGTTTATTAAGTTTTATTCTATAAGACATCCTAAACAAGCAACATGATCAAAATATGCAGCTTGAATTAGTTTTACTAAAACTATACCCTAATTATATAAAAATATCTAAAAATAATAGTTCTATTTGACCTGATTCATTTACATACTCTAGGACATCATGATCTCTATGATTTCGGTACACATTCATACATGAATTTTCATTGTGTAATAGTGCTTTAATAAATAAAAATTCCATATAGGTGCATCTGCCATTATACGCATAATTTTTATCATGATTTTGATTGGCTTAGGATAATTTTGCATTAAGACACTATCTAACATTTTATTGTGTCATTAAGTACATAATTTAACACAAACAAATCATAACATGCATAATTATAACCAAATAATTTGCTAGCAAATCAATTTATCACATGATGAAGTGAAAATAAATACAATCTTAGTTAATTCCTAAAGTTAAAATATCTAAAATAATGTGTCTACATGACATCTAGAGTGATTTCTAATCGAGTTTGCTATTTTATTCAAGCTTTCAAGTGAATTTGTTTGCTTTGCAACTAGAGACTCAATTTAAATTATTTATAAAGAACATACTATATTAACCCTATCCATTGTGAGATGGATCATCTCATTCTAAGGTCCTACAATACTAATGATAGACTACATCCTACGATATTATGATACATTGAAGAATTTAAAATTTTCAATTAATGCATATGATAATTTGAGTGGGTTTTATATTAATTAGAAATTGGTTTGAATTGATTTAGTGAGTGTCAACATCTTAATAAATGCAATTATAATTTTTAGATGCTTTAATTTAATTTTGAGCCTTGTTTAATGTATTTTAATTTTGATTTGAGACTAACAATTAACAAATTCATGCTCAAAAGCATACTTCTATGTTCTTCTTTCACAGTAGTTAAGTGCAAAGTAAAAGCCATGGCACGGCGTAGACGAAAAATAATATAATTATCTTTTTTATTCTATTTATATCATTAAAGGAGCCTTATAATATTTTGGGCTTATAATAGATGCTCCTGAAACTCAAGGATTTTAAACCCAATATACTAGCACGTATACTAACAAAATTTAGTTTATACTAGAATTGATCCATCATTTTAGTTGACAATTTTTTTTACTTTTTGCTAAATAAAACTAAAGCTTAATAGCACATGCTTGACTACATATAATTTGTACAAAGTAATCCTACTTGGTCTTTTGTTTTGGGAAGAGTTGAATCCCAATTGTATCTAAGGTAGTTTTATAATGTGCTCTATACTATCTTATTTATGATAATTCTAACAAATAACCTAACACATGAATTTTGAAGGAAAATTTTATTTGATTGATGTGAATATTTAAATATATAAATGATTTACATAAAAAAAAAAAATTTAACAATGCTTAGGGTGCTATGTATGTATTTATCACAAAAAATTAATGTAATATATTATGTTATATTATCATTTAATTATTTAAATCAATAAACAAATTTTAAAATAAAAGTGGCTAAATTCTCTCGAGCCATTCAAGGGAATAACTTTGATCTAATTTATTATTTTTTTCGGAGTTATTATTACATACATATCACATGATTTTTAAATATTTATATATCTAACACTCAAGCTTTCATATTTACATGCCTAATACTCATATGTTTTAATATCACATAAAAAATATCATTGTTATTTACTTCTTAAAGTAAAATACATTTTTTTCATGCTACAAATTTAAATAAAAATATGTTGAGTGTTAAGAAAATAAATGGATACTAATTATGCGGTAATTATGTAATTTTTGTTTTTTATTTGAGTCGTTTATATGCATGCCACACATTTATATGTATTTAGATATACATACTTGCATTTTGATTTTGACATTTACAACACTCAAATTTTTAATATCACAATTATTTTTTTTTCTTAAAAGTGAAATATATTTTTGATTTATAGATAAAAGATTATAAATATAAGAATTAAAAGGAAGATTTATATACATAGCACTTAATTTCTATATATTTATATATTTAACACCTTAAGTTCATTTTTTATATACATATCACTTTATTTATGTACGAAAGGATGTATTTTTTTTAACCCTTGTCCAAGTCTTTAATCCCCTTTAATTATTTTTTTTATAAATTTACGTATCACTTTAATCATTTTACGCACTCAAAACTTTGGTGCTCTAAATCGATATGATACATAGAAAGGATAAAGGTTAGCGCTGTGTGTAAAAATGAAAGTTTAGGTGGGAAATATGAAACTACATCACAAGATTTTTGTGCTTATGTATGTAAAGACCCCAATGAAAGTTTGAAAAAATATTACGACAGGACTCCGAACGTAGAGCTACATTCGAATTGCAATAATAGCTGTGTTATATGAATATTTCATCAGCGTTATTTGTGTAAAATAAAGTGGTATTGAAATATTCCACACCGCATTACTTGATTTGAGTCTATGTTATTCTAATAAAATAGTGAAAATTGAAATAACACGAGAAATATGTCGAATAACACATCTCCATATAAAATAAGACCGAAGAATTTTTCAATAAGTAAATAATTAAACAAGACACGTAATGCTCCAATAATATTTTATTTTTTAAGAATAACGCTGATGGAGCGGGATATTCGCGACGTAATATGCGCTCTGAAAGTTTAGGGTTTAGGGTGTTCCTTCCGTTAGGACTTCAGCGTAAAACCTAACCGGGACCCTTCTCCCGCCGCAGCTCGGTGTCTCTGCAGAGCAAACCACATGGCGGACCAATCGAAACCCTTCTTCCCTGTGGAATCAGCTCATAAGCCCTCTTCCCGCAAATTCCACCCTCTCACACCCGAATCCAAATTTTGGCGCTCCTACAAGAACCACGAGCTCTCCTCCGACCTCATCCTCCCTGTCACCTCGCTCGAATTTTCTCCCAGCCCTCCTTTTGACCTCGTAGCCGCCTCTTCCGCGGCCTTACATCTCTTCGACGGGGCCTCTCTCTCCCCCAAGGCCCACTCCCCAATCTCCTCCTTCACAGACGTCGCCTACTCTCCCTCCTTTCGCTGCGACGGCGCTCTCCTCGCTGCGGGCGGCGAGTCCGGCCTTGTCCAGGTCTTCAACCCCCTCAGCTCAGGCCACGCACTCCGCCGTCTACGCGCCCATTCCCGCCCTGTTCATGTCGTCCGCTTCCCTCGTGCTGCCGATAAGCTCCACCTCTTCTCCGCTGGAGACGATGCCCTCCTCACCTACTGGGACGTTTCCACCGAATCACCCCTTCTCTCCTTTCCTGCCGCCCACCGCGACTACATCCGCGCGTGCTCTCCCTCCCCGATCTCCGCCGAAGTCATCGCCACGGGTTCTTACGATCATTCCGTTAAGGTCTGGGACGCCCGTATGTCTCCAGATTCCAATCAAGTTTCCACTTTTACGCATGGGAGCCCGGTAGAGAGCGTGCTATTCCTTCCCTCCGGTGGCCTCATTGCTACTGCTGGCGGGAATTCACTGAAGATTTGGGATGTGATTGGTGGAGGGAGACTTATTCATACGATGGAGTCCCACAATAAGACAATCACTTCACTATGCCTGGGAAAAGTTGGCAACGAAGGCGCTGGCTTCCGTGGAGAGTCGAGAATTCTTAGCGTATCCATTGATGGGTATTTAAAAGTTTTTGATTTTGCTGCTTTTAAAATCACTCACACTGTGAGATATCCAGCTCAATTGTTGTCAGTCGGATTTTCTCCTTCGGGGTTGTCTAGAGTGGTTGGCACATCAAATGGAGTTATTTATGCAGGAAAGAAGAAGCTGAAAGAGGAGGCATTGGACAAGTTTACTGGTGAGATTGATCAGTCTTTACCGGAGACAGAGAAGAGGGTTCTAAGGCCTACATATTATAGGTATTTTCAACGTGGGCAGAGTGAGAAGCCTTCAGAGGGTGATCACGTGGTGAAAAAGCCAAAAAAGGTGAAATTGGTGGAGCATGATATGCTCTTGAAGAAATTCAGGCACAGAGATGCACTTTTATCAGCTTTAAACACTAGGAGACCAGGCAGCATTGTGGCTGTAATGGAAGAACTTGTTGCAAGGAAGAAGCTTTTAAAGTGTATTGCAAATCTTGACGTGAATGGGCTTGGCATGCTATTTCAATTTTTTCATAGAAATGCTACAAAGCCGAGATATGCAAGGTTTTTGATGGGTCTGGCGAAGAGGGTGCTTGAGATGCGAACTAAAGATTTTCAATCTTCTGAGGAGTTATGCCGCCATGTGCAGAATCTCAAGTGTATGGTTGAAGAGGAGTTGAGGATACAACATTCACTGCAGGAAATACAAGGAATGCTCTCTCCTTTGCTTGTGATTGCTGGAAGATGAGGCTTTTGTTGTAGCTAGTCGATGCCAACCGCATCACTTATTTAGCTTTTGCAAGGTACCCTACTTTATAGTTTAGGCATTTTATCAATGGATGTGTAGTTTTTTGTAATGTTTTCTTTTGTCATGGTGATAGATAGTTAAATCCGATTAGAAGATTGAATGAATACAAAAGAAAATTGTACCAATGAGCAAATCTTAAAATTGTTGATGTTCAATGGTTGAGACATCAAATTGTTGAATCCTCAGTGCAATGAAATTAGAAGCCAAAGTAAAAGCTCTTAAGCATTTCTCATGTTCTCAGTAACTCAAGTAATAGTGAAGAAAGAACATATAGATGATGGCCTATTTATACAGAATTAAACTCTGATGAAGGATGAGGCATCCTTATTAAATAAATTTAAAACAAATAATGAAAATTAGGCCATAAATGATAACTTTTCAAGGGTAATTTAATGATAATTTGATTTTAGTTCCTTTATCTCTTGGATTGTGTTCGTAGACCTTGCACAGGAGGTCAGTTTGCGTGAATTGAATTGGCTGATAGTGCAGCATCTTATAACCTTTTTTAAGTGATGAATCTCAATTTCTTTTAGCGTTGCGCTTAAATGCATTTCTGTTTGATTTGGATATTTATTTAGATAATTACATTGTAACCCAATCTTATTTGAACTAGTAATTTCATATTATGGTGTTGTTTATATTCTTTAACCACTGATTTTATGCCAAAGTTCATTAAATTTACGAACCTAGGTCTATGTAGTAAATTAAAATATCATTGAGTTTTTTTGGTACATTGAAGAAATTTTCAGTATCATTTTGGTTGATTTGCATACATAGCATGGAATTCTTATTTATTTACATATCTAGCACCCAAATCTTTATTTATACTTATATTACATCCTAATCTCTAAATCATGTCAAAAACACCACTATAGAGTTAAATTATCTAAAGTAAAATATATCCTTTAACACATAGGATTTAGTGTAATTTAGAAATTAGATTTTTATATTAGTAAATATAAAGTTTTTGGTGTTAAATATGCAATTATAGGTGACTTTTGGTGTATGTATATAAAGCTCTGTCATTTTTCTAGCTATCAGAATTATTGCTGGCTAAAAACTAGAGGATGCGTAATTGGGCTGGACAATGGGAAAATTGCGGTAGTGGCCTTGTTGATAATCGTTTTTTCAGTTTATAAATCTTGCCATAACACAATTTATGAATTTCCTTCATTTGTAAATGGTGGAAAAGTTGACTTTTTTTATTGTTTCGTGATGCGTTCATGTGATTATTCACTTTCTGTAAACTTTCATTTTGGCTGAATATCCATTTCATTTGCTTCCAAAAGAATTACATTTCTTCTATATTTTCACATTATCTTGAGTGAATTGAATCATATGGATGTCTTTAATCGTCCAGAATTCCATTATTTCTTGCGAGCAATATGAGACCCACCATCTGGATTTTAAAAGAGTTGTTTGTTAAATAATGGAATAATTACTTTGTTTTAAAACTTTTAATGACCATAATAGTTACGTCATGCGACAAAAATTGGTAAAATGCTTTAGTGTTTCATGTTATTGCATGTATTCTATGATGACAGTCTGATCTGAATGGACAAATTTTGTGTAAGTACTGATTTATTTTCTTCCTTGATTCCATAACAATTAAAAAAGGGACAAGCTTGATCAACCAAGCGTGTTTTGGCTATTTCTAATGCATTTTTTGTTTAAGAAAAGGAAACATAGCCAATGCTTCAATGAATATCTTGAATTGATGTGAAGAATTTTTCTTCATGCTTCTATCAATAGCCATTGTCTCTTTACTAAATTTCTTCATGGCACACTGAAGAGCATAACCTTGTCATCTTTATAAATTTAAATATAAGAAATTTTTTTATTGGGATGTTGCACTGGGACATGCTGGTAGCTTTTATAGGCTTTTTATCAGTTGATACTGGTTGATAAATGCTAACCTTAAAATTTAGGGATAATTACATACTTTGCCTTCAAAACATTGTTATTTATAAAATTAGCATCCATGTGTTTTTTTTGAGCCATTGAACCAATGCATTAACGAATGACACGGTCAAACCATTGGGAATTTAATAAAAATGAAAAAAATATGGGATGAGGTTTTATCATGAATTTTGATATTTGAGTGAGAATTTGAAAAATGGATAAAAGTGGGTGCTAGATTTACAAATAGCATTGTTACAAGTGCTATGTATGTAATTGCCCCAACTGAAATTTAAATCAGTCGTTTAATTGTTTTAATGTCTATGAAGCATACACACTTTTAAAAAGTTATCCAATTGTGTAAAGTTTAAACTACTCGTTTCTATTGGGTTGCCTAATACGGAGTTGTTTTGTTGGATATTGTGCATGTACTTGGACACTCCAGGACAATTTCAAGATTTTTTTTGTAATGTTTCATTTTTTTTAAAAAAAAAGAGATTTTTTTTGCTCTTTCTAGAAAACATTGATATGAATTAGATACACTGAACTAAACCAATGCTAATATAATAATGTTATTATCAATATTTTTAGAAGCCCACTTCATGTGCAAAGAGAAACGAAGTGCGTGATACCCACTTTGCTTTGTTGAAGCGTGCTTTGACATTTTGAAGCAAAACAGTCAATCCGGATCATAGTTTAGCGAGAGGGAATAAAATGCTACTAAATTAATTTTGTATGTTTTATGAAACTTGAAACTTTATTAGTCTATTTATGCTTTAAAATTTAGATTTTATTTTGAGTTATAAGTTTTTCTTTTTATAATTTTGAAGTCTTTAATTATTGCATTAAATTATTAGAAATTGTTCGAAATTTTTATTTTATTGGTTCACCCTCAATGTTTGTCTTAAAATTAGGTATTGCACTTTTTATTTTATATCAACTTTTAAGTTATATTTTATAATTGTTAGTTAAGTAATTTATATATTAATAATTTTATATAATCTATTAGCATTTTAACTAATAAAAGCGCCGCTTTGCTCTGCGCTTTGCATGTTGAAGCCAAAAATAAAACCTTGGCATCGCATTGCGATTTGCGCTTTGATAGCATTGGTTATTATGATTTCAATCTTATTTATATTCATATCTCATTCTGTCTTTTATTTTTATTAATTTTGTCATCTCTTGATTTGGCATATTCCTAATTTGTTTTTTGTTTCTATATCTGTCTCTCTCTCTCTACATATATATATATCTCTCTCTCTATACACACATATATATATATATATATATATATATATATATA